CGCGCTACCATCGTGCGAAATAATGCATAACCATCGAGCGACGCTTCCCATTGAGGAATAATATTCTAAATATTATTGCGTGGATGAGGGAAGGGTAACGAACACGCGCTTTTCGTTGATTTAATTCCATCGACATCCTGTGCTTCTTTCCTGGTATTTCCTCGTTTATACACTAGAGATTTATCGCGAAAATTAAATTGTGAGTTAGTAACTCTCAACTGTGACGAAATCTCGAATAATATTATGTAAAAATATTCAAAGCAATTTTGTAAGGTCACACATTGCATCCTTTTGCTTGATTGTATTCTTGTTGCCAAACAAAAATCATTTTATTATTATTATTAACCGCAAGATGTTAAAATGTGCCCTTTTAATAAGTTACTTTTCGCGCTTATGGAAAGCAGTCGTCAAATACAACAGCCGAACGACTATATTTCGATGCAACTGGAGGGGTTGGTTGCGCTTAGCGACACCGCGCTCTGCAAACCGGGTAACACGCTGGGTGTATGAGAGTAATACGTGAGTTACCCTTTTTTTTTTATTCGAAAATGATAAAACTCGGTCTAATGTAAAATTCATTATGTCCATTACGGCTAATTAAGCGGAGCGAACACTCACCAAAAACCCGTGCATTTTTCAGCGATAAAGTCGGCGGCTCTTAATTATTTTATTTCGGACGAGCGCGCGTACCGGTAATTCGCTATATTCTATACGCATATATACGTCAAATCTCGCGGTGCCGTCGCGGGAATGCGCGTATCTCCGATACGCGTCTTAGGACAATACGTATCGCCGCGCTAACGAGTTCGCAACGTAACAATAATCGCATTAAGACGTTAATTAAATGTTACACATAATTTCAAATAGCTGCATAATGCCACTTCGAAATAATTGTTGTTTGTACAGCAGTTCTCACGATGCGTTACCCGCGCAATTTAATAGTTGTTCATTAACGGGAATTAGAGATGGAGCAGCAATTACGCCTCTCTTCGAGCGATAATAAATTACAAATCGATGAACCGTAATATTTCATTACGCTATTCCAAGTATTTTGTTGCTAATCAGGGATGCTTCCCATCGTTCCGCCGCATTTCGCTCGATCGGAAAAATGGTGACTGATTAATCTCTCCATGCGACCGTTCGCTCTGCCAGAGCGGTGTGTAATTGTGTGTATATGTGTGTGTGCGTGTGTGTGTATGCCGATTGCATTCGAAATATCTCTATCGCATGCGGTATCGATCGAATTTTGAGTGCAACAAATTATAACGACAAATAGTTTTCTTCTCGTTTAAAAATTAATATAAACGCATTTTGCGTAATAACAATGAGAAATACACTTCAATTTTTTTTAATAATAAGGAAAATATCGGCCCATCTAATATTTTGATATTTTAGAACGTAAATATGTTTATAAGCTCGAAAAATTATTCGACAAAATTGTTATAATAAAATTTAAAAAGAAGCAAACGTATGTAAAGGATGATTGGATAAACAGTATACGTATCAATGAGCGAGCGGAGCAATTCTTGTGTAACTATCGCAGCTATATCGGAGGGACAGAGAGGGAATGAGCTGCCTCGTTATTATGTGCAACGCACTCGTAGCGAGCAATTTTCTACCCATTAATGCAACGATTATACAACAGAGCTATTACGCTTACTGTATCAATGATGCGGAGTATCATAATTTATGCTGCATACAATGTACCGAATTGTAAAATTGTGAATTATAAAAACGAATGGGTTCGTGGACTGAGTCCCTCAATTCCCAACTCTAAACTTAATTTCTCGCAAATCAATCAATTATCGAAAAACGATCCTTGAAAGTCAGCCATTAATATCCCGAAATGTTTTAATCCTTAAACGATTTAGACACACATGCGCATATTTTCGGAACTTCTAAACGTAATCAGATTTTCATAAATAATTAAGGGAAAACGCGTAGTTACATTTTTGATGTCCCAGAGCGCGAAATGAGATCGGCGGCGTGTCCTGCGGCACGAGCGCCGATCGGGATCTTTTCCATTCAAGTTCATTATCGCAGATGATCGACATGTAACGCGCGGGGCAGCCCGGTAAGAATTGAAGAAAGGAAAAAATAAAAAGAGATTACTTGGCGGTCCTTAAAACACGCGATGGATCCGCCATGGCAAGTCAAGAAACCTTTGATAGCGACGCTCGATAGTATAGCGATGCTGAGCGCCGGCGCCTTTCCCTCGCAGCCCCATTGGTGCCGAAGGCCCTCTCCACACGAGTGCCCGCCGCCGGGTTTCCTTGGAAACGCTTCGTTCACGCTGATGTCTACCCTCGCCTACAGAAAACCTCTTTCAATTAGGCAGCCTGCCGCCCGACAGACCCACGAATCCCGGTCCGTTTTCTCTCCCGTTCCCTTTTCTTTCTCTGTTCTATCTTTCAGCTTTCCTTTTTCTTCCTTTTTTTTTGGTGTTTGTTTTTTTTTTTTTATTTTCTCTCGCCTGACGTTTCCCGCGTCGCGTTGCCGAATACGAATACGCGCTACTACGGGATCGGAGGCGAAGAAGTCACCGAGTACCACGGGTGACTTTGAAACCACTAATTCGTTAAACAACTGAAAGGCGTACGCCGGGGTCAATGTGTCGCGCTATTCTGACGCGATGTAAAAATTAGAAATCAAGGCAGACATCGGCGATAATATGGACCGGGGAGTATCGACTTGTTAAAAATGTATAATAAGAATAGCCGCGCGAGATATCGTAAAAACGATTTCAATCGCAAAATGATAAGCGACTCAAATTAAAATTCACCGCTGCAAACCCTGGAGTATCTCAGTTGATTTTAGAAGCTCTCTTTTTATCACGCGACTAAGATTATCTCGATTACAAAGTATCCTTAATCGACGATATCTAGATAACTGTTCTCGCCGTGCAGACAGATATTTAATTAACACAGCGAATAAATACGGGGATAAGCGTCGTACACGGTACGACTCGCATGTGCGAATTTATATACGCGCACGGCGAGAGGGATGGAGAAGCGTAGCTGCTTGATATGCAGCACAACGCCCGGCTTGACTGACGCCTCCAAGTTGCGAATAAAATTTTCATGAATTTCTATTAACTCCGTTTTTCTAGACGTGCCCCGGAGACTTAAAAAAGTTCTGTCAGCTGATAGCCCGCAGGGAGGCCAAAATCACCCTCTTGCGTTGGTCAAATCCGATCGAAAGGACAATTTTTTAGCTGGTTCGCGTGACCTGCTTTTGAGTTAATTTGACGCATAAAATTCTCGTCAAGACGTAAAGATTAAGAATATAATTAAGAAACTGCAGATATTTAAGAACGTTACCCTCGTTTTAACGTGATGCAAAATAATCCCCTATCCTCTTTCCAATCGAGTGAAATAACATACTGATACTAATTGCAAGTATTTGCAAAGTAAGTTATAATACGTTTATAATGCTCTTTATTGATTTTTATCATTTTCAGTGACCATTGCACTCTTCATCGTTTTAAATTTTATCATTGCGTGAAACTATAAGTTATTTTGAAGCCAAATATATCGTTGGTTAATTTTTCTGTCGGATCTTTAATGAGATACGTGCTAATAATGCACCCAATAATCAAACGAAGAGGTCGATAAACTTTTAGATGAATAAGACAGGGGAATTCAAGCCTTTTTATTTCATAAATTCTGAGATTTCCGTCAGGTCCATATTTAGATAAACCGCGGAAACCACGAGTGTATTCTCGCTGTCAAAAACACATTATGCTCGTTAAATTATAATACGGAAGATGTCTCGATTTATCATGCCTTTTTTAATTCGATTCGACATTTATTGCCGATGCGTCTATTTTTAATGTTTCTCGTTAACATACGCTATTTTTCATTCGTTACATCTCTGCGTATTAATACAATATAACTAGCTCTCTTTTAAATCATTCCTTGGAAAATGTTATTTTTAAGGAAAAATTAAAAGTTTTATTTTACGAGTAAAATAATACTTTTTTTTCTCAATTACATGTCGGGCAATAACAAGATTCAACTATAATTATCCTAATTCATGATGAAGCCATACATACATTTTGTATATCTTCACATTAAGAAGATTTTAATGGATCGACACTAGCTTTTGCAGGATCGATACCAGCAGGAGAGCACAGCTTTTGGGGGGGAACCGCCTGCCGCGGTTGAGATTTCTGGATCTTTGATCCCGGAATTCCTGATGCCAGAGGCGGGACTTGCGAGCTTCCGCAAAGTTTCGCGGTCGACTCGCAACCAAGTAGAACCCACCAAAATTCGGAACCCCGCAGGGCGAGGGCTTAGCTGCTGTGCTCCAAGTTTCACTTTAATCCAAAAAGCCACGGTAGGCCGGCACAATTGATTCCGCCGGAGTTCCGGTCCTGTCTGGGTTACGTTTCTGAGGATAACCGCGAGGTCACCATACGACAATTTATGCTACTTTATAACGCTCTATAACATGCTCTAAAATACGCTATATGTCCGTGTCCAAATTTTTACGCGTCGAAAACATTATTTTATATTTATAAATGTTTATAAAAACGCGTTTGTCCTTACGATCCTATGTCCAGCATATTATCATTTCATTCATGCGTGTCGGAGATCCGCTCCATATTTATATAATAATATTTATAACGATAATAAATCACCACAATAATTGAGGCACTTATACAAATGAATCGGTCATTGCAGAAAGCATATGACGTATATGATACGAAAAATTAAACCTGATTTTCTGGGAAAAAGATAATTAATTTCTCCGATGGGCCGAATTGTAAAAAAAAAAAGAGTTGAGTCATATCTTCTTTTTACATAGTAGCTGATTTAAATAAGTGTCCGAACCATAATCCCGAATTGTAACTATTTTAACGTGCATAACGTAAAGATTGGCGTGTAATTCTGTCACGGCGGTGAACGCGAAGTCACGCGATAAGTTCTCTGGCGCACATTGAAATTAATCATTTCGTGCCAACGCAACGGCAGTGTGTACATTTTGACCACACCTACCTGAACGCGACTTTCCGTGAGGCCGATCCTTAGTGCTATTTCCTCCCTCAGAAAGATATCCGGGTAGTGAGTTTTGCCGAAACACCTTTCCAGCTCGTTGAGCTGGGCCGGTGTAAAACGCGTCCGATGTCGCTTCTGCTTTGCGGGTTTGTCATCGCCTTGCCCGATCCCAGCCGCGCCACCTAAAATGCAAAACCACGGTTAAATAATATAAACGTAAAATTTTCTCTGATTTCAATTATCTTTAATAGTAGAACAAATCGCTAATTGAAAGGATAATTAAAGAATAAAGCGTTACGTTTCCTCTCTTACATTTTAAAAGAGAGGAAATAAAATTGTAGTGTACAATCTACTTATTTTGAAATGTATCGTTATCGGAAAAAAATCATCCTTATAGAAGAGAGTGTAAAATCGATCAAAGCAAGTATAGTATCGAAAAAGATCTTTTATCACGTCCTAATGATATCGAGATATTTATTAAATGAAGAATTATCAGTTTTATTAACTTATACAATAATTATTAATAAATATCTTAGATTCTAAGCAAAATATTTCATAGTTACGCTGAATGATCCTAACATGTGCTGCACATTGGTCAACAGCAAATTTAAAGAGCCATTGTATATTTAATACATGTTTTTGCTTCTAAATTTTAGTTATGTAACTGTTAACATTTGAAAATAACATGTAAAAATAACATGTAAAAATGACATGTAAAAATGACATGTGAAAATGACGTGGCTAATTTAGCATCAAATCCGGACTAATAATTAATTTTAAAAATTGATCTCTTAAAAATACAGTACTAGTTTTTATTATCAAATTCTCTAGGTGTATATATACTTTTTAAAGTTGCATTTTTTTCTTAAATTACGAATTATTAATAAATTTAACTCAATACAAAAATTACATTAAGTTTATGTTATAAGGGTTAAAATGTAAACTGAGATAAATGACTGATATTCGTGTTATATCTTTTTCTCAACGTACTCAAACTATTCTCCTAAATAATATAAAAATATGCTGTTGCATTCAGCAAAATGATTTCGCCTTTTAACTCATCACGAAAACATCGCGCAATTCGTTCTGGGAATATCTCATACGCTTATTGCAGCTGCTCACGTAGCGCATTCGTGGAAAATCGATGCGATTCATCTTTCCATTTACCATCATCCAGCTTATTTAATGAACAGATAAAATCCGTCATTCGCTCAATCGCAAATCATTCGCGATTTCGCAATGTTAATGTTACCTTATAACGCAAATAAAAGGCGTATACTTATAAAATAGGAGGATGCTAAATTCTTCATACTTTTATTTATTCACTCTCTTTTTAATAGCTTCGTGAAATGCATTTCTACCGTCAAAATTGAGAGATGGAAAGTTGAGCTTGCGACTCATGTAAGTTAATCGTTCGCCGTGTGTCTTCTTGAATGATTCTCGGCCGACGAGATCGAACGTAAGCAAACGTGACGGCGAGCTTACGTACCTGTGCCGGGCATAGTCATGATCAATTCCTGATGAAGCGTGAGGCCACCACCCGCGGACAGACCGGAGCCCAGATTCACACCCAGCACGCCGTGCTCCTTCTCGTACCGCTTCAGATCTTGCGCATCCTTCGCTCCTACGTGCGTGCAGCGATGAGGTAGGTAAGAAGCAGAGAAAAAAAGAAGACGTGCCGCTTCAGTTTTCTCCCATCTTTTTTCTTTCCGCCGGGCTTCCTCGTGCTCCGCACATGCCTCTCGCTCGCCCGCCCCACGCGCCCGCTCTACGTAGTTTAAATTTGTATAGGAGCAGAAGCTGGCCGAGGGGTGTACGGACCACTTAGCGAGGAGGTGCGAGAATCGTCACCGTATACTCTGGACTTCTAGGCGGGCAAACACATGTCCCGATATTCCACGCACTTGCAAGGTAGGTACATCCATACACGTACGTACACATGTACGCCTCGTGTCTGCGTACACGAGCGTGACACCGTGTGTATGTTACGTGTATGTTACGTGCATACGTGAATGTATCGTTGTATCGTGGAGGGTGTCCATCTCAGATCAGTACGCCCACACTACTCCGTGTCAGATCGCGGGTATCGCAACGTCGTTGTGCATTGTCAAAGATGCTTACGTAATGAGGTAAACTAGTTTAGTCAGCTACGACCGCGACGTAGACGCATCTTCTGCGTCACTAAGGAGGAAAAGAAGAAGCTCGTTAAAAATTTCCACCCGCCGAGAGCGACAATGCGATGAAATAAATGCGATGGAGCTGCGCGAAAAATAGAAAAGATTTGAAACAATGGCGTAACTCGTGCGAAACGATTATTATTAGTTTTGACATTTATATTGACATTTATAAATGTGAAAAATTTTTCATAAAATTTGGTACAAAGACTTTCCCGTTTACAAAAAGATTTCACAGCTCTATTTTTTTTAAATTTCTATGTTAAAATGTTAAGACTTTTAAAAAACTATGAAGAGAGTATTATTTTCAATTGTATGAAAGAGATTTTCTAAAAGAAACTTTTCATTGCATTTTATACAAATTTATTATTTAATAATTTTATTTAAATATGCAGACTTTTAGTAATAAAATGAATGCAGAATATATAGAATATTCTATTAGTTTCGTTTGCGACAGTAAATATAAAGTAATACATATAGAAATACCGAGAATCGATATTAAATTATTAAATCAAATAAATCAACATGTAGGTAAAACTTAACTGAATGAGTATATCTCTAAATGAATGGATTTTACGACAAATCTTTCTATTTACGTTACAGACATTTAATGATTTTGTTTTTATTATAAAGGATTTAATAGTCCCGGTATTTATGAGCCTCTTTATTTGATAAGAATTTAAATTCTTATACGTGAATTATTTTGTCTTCATCGAGATTCTCCGTATACAATGAACTCTGTTGTTACAAAAATCGCGCGCAATCACAGTGCCACGTGAATCACAAAGTGCTATGTTGCATCTCCTACAAAGAGAAAAATTTCTCCTCTAACATTTACTTTGCGTAATTACACTCGTATTACTTCGAGATACCTTCCTTCCCTCTTGTTAAAGATTGAGAATGATTATTTAATCCCGCATTAATTGACCGGATTATCGAAGATCATAATCAAATTAGAACGCTAATCACTAAAGGATCACGTGGGATGCGACTATAGGCATTCGTTCTACACGTGTATTTTTTTTCGCTCATGGAGTATCGCGCGGTAATTCAGGATGCGTGAAGCGGCTGTAGAAAAAAAAAACACAAAATTTTTATAACGTTCGGCCGCGCGTTTATCGACATTTGAAAACCTCGTGATTGACAGCCGCCCGCGCTTGAAACGTCTGAATAATAAAGTCATAAATCACATTACTATCCGGAAATGTCGTGACAGACGTATTTATTCGCGTGTCACGCTCGCGAGCTGTGTGCCCGCCTTGTCTCAATGGATGGCCGATGCACCAAATGCAATTAACGTATATCATAAAAAATTTTAACGGACACACTTTAAGTATGGCGAGATGCGCGCACAACGTTCCCGAGGGCCAAATCTCATTTTTTGATAAATTGAAGGCTGGTAATTGAAGACGTATCGATGCAGTCGCGAATTGGCCGCGGCCGTTAGTAAGTATAATATATGCTTGATCTTATTTGACGGAAGACAGATAAGTGCGATTTATGAGAAACAAGCGCGACGTCGCTTGTGACGTCTATCACGCGTAAACTCAGATATAATCACTCCAGATGATACGACGATTACGATCGTTTGAATAAAATCAAGATCTTAATGAATATCAATAGTTTCAAGAGAGAGAGAGAGAAAGAAAAATTCTTTCGCTATTCGCATACGTTGTCGCTGTTCAATTCATTCGGATAAACACAATAATGTTAATCTGAAATTGAACGAGACACAATTAAGTGTGTAAATTTCATGACAAAGTAAGTATGACGGAAAAAAATCAACGCTTAACGCTTAACGCGAAAAAAATGGAGCTATAACTTTCTTTTAATCTGGTTAACGTGTAACGCTTTACTCAGTCCTCGCCACCTGCAACATTCTAACTCTCTAAACCGTTCCTCAACTTCTCGCGTAATGTAATCAGTGTTGAGGTAATTAAGATCATCAAACTCGAGAAGCGGCTTTCTTGAGATGGAGGAGATCGAAGACGTGCAACGTCACGTGTTACCGGCACCGTCTCACTATTCTTTCGTGCGATTTTCCACCCTCGATTTTCATTCTCTATCGATTTTCCCATTTATAACTTTAGAAAATAAACCTACCGCGAAAAAGAAAAATTTCGCTAACTTAAAAAGTAAATTTACAATTTTACTACAATCAAAGAAAACATTTTAGTACTATATACAGAGTAGAAGTCAGATAATTAACAGGTAATTACTTAACTTTTACAAGATAAAAGATAAATAAATTTATTAATTGTTCATTCTTCATAAAAGATTTGCGACTATTATTTATATCATGATTTTATTGTGCAAATACCGAAGAAAAATAAAAATTGAAATAATAAACATCTTTTACATAGAAATGTATTAAAGAAACATAGTTTTTTTGCAAAACAATACACAAAATTAAATAAAAAACTGGTGCAAAAAACGTGATTTTTTGAGTATCTATATCAATACAATAAATATTCGTAGTAAGTTACACGATATTAATTACAATCCATAGCTGCGCAGGATTACTGATAGTGGATTAGCCAGGCAGTCCCTACACCAACCGACGGGTGATGAAAGTCAAATTGACTTGAGAGAAATCCGGATCTATTCCTAATTTATCTTTTTTGCAAGCATGTGAAATCATATGTCGAGCTTAGAAATGAGCTTTAAAAAGATAGATTCATAAAATTCGTGGATCAAAACAAAAGTATTAAGCAGTGCAGAGTACAATTATCAAATTTTAATAACAATTATTGAACAATACATTATAATCAGTTTTATTAATTTTCGTTTTATACAAGAAACGCATATTGTCTAGAAGATTTCCGATTCGCTATCGATAGTTGACATTCAAAAGCCACTTTCTATATATTTTAGCCGACGCAATTATCATCACAAATTGTACGGATATTTCTGTTATAAATTTTACCGTAAACGGCATGTAATTAACTTTAACGGAGCTATGTGACCTATAATAATGCACGTAAAAGATTTAGGAGGGTTTAAAATTAAACAACTAAATTTATAACCAAATCTATTTAAATGGAAACTATTTAGCGCTCGATATTTCTTCCCGATGGATTTTATTTCATCTTAAATAGTCTTGAAAGTTTCTTTACGAAAATACGAATGCTAATGGCAAGCAATTAGACCGGGAATACTCATGGTACTCGTAATAATGTCTGATTAATTAACGACGTCACTTTCAATTGTAATTTTTAATTGCAGTAGACCGACATGATAATGCCACGTTATACGCGAACAAAAAGCTGACACGCTAAGCTTAAAATAAACTAGCTCGCGCACTATAAAAGCTATGAAGAAACACACTTCTTATGGGACACCTGATGCTACAGCGGTACTTGGCGCCGCCTTTGAAATCTAAGACTGAAGTATCAAAGTTTAACACTATCATTATATCGCGCTATTTCCGTCTTCCCTCATCACAATTTGCATCAGATACAAACGTGAGATTCGCAAAAGTGACGTGCGTTACTTTCTAATATTCCATAATGTCGACAGTCGACAGACACAGCGATGAATTGCGCCGATAAATAATTGTTATACTTGTCACGACAATGTCGGTTACAGATAAAATATGTTATTATGATTATTCAGTCTCACATTTCTTCTCAATTTTTACTATAATTAGACAAATTTAGTACTTTCGTCAATGTGGGTGAAATCGGCTGCCGCTATTAAAATTGATGAAACCTGCGATTGACACTTAATCCTGAGAGAGTTTGTACTTGATCCGATTGGATCGCCCAACACTTCACGATGTCTTTCACGTCGGTTAAAAATTCTTTTTGACTCAATATACGGAACGTACGGAACACTGGATTGTACATCGAAAGCGACGCGCGTGGTACCGTCGGCGAGACATCGATGACTTCCGAGGAACTCCGGTTGCAAGTTACGTTTGCTGTTCGTGATCGAAATGCATTTGCTGTACATAACTGATTGTAAGTGAAGTAATGACGTTTCACTCATTAGGTACCGCGTGTGTGGTCCGCACTTAGTGACATATGTGAGATAACTGTAACGTTATTAATTTTTGCAACGCCAAAAATATGATTGCAATAATCGATACGATAGACTTGACCGACACTAAATAAATTAAACCTTAACTCATATAATCGGCCAGTCATAATAATACGATTCATAATTTTGTACTAATCCCGCGCTAAATTTTTCTATTCAAAATATACACTCAATTATCCCAGTGAACATTATTCTCAGCCATTCTGAACAATTATTCTCAACTAGTTTAAGAACATTTAAAACAGAAAACTTGGATTTGAAGCGCAGAACGAAGAAAACCAATGGGTACCGCGAATCTCGGCCAGCTTCAGGATTTCTAAGGGAATTCGGGAGCTCAGTCCTACACGGCGAGTTTCAATTGACATTCAACAGACGAACGTCAAAAATATTATTCGTATTGACGAGATCGCTATAACAATTTCACAGTTTCCTCGACGCACAACCGGATGGGGAGGGAATTTCTGGCTCAAGTGTGTACGGTACTTACCGGAGATACCGTGTACGGAACCGCCGGCGGTGATATTGTTGAGCATGCCGCTCAACCCCGGGAGCGTAGCTCCGATACAGGACGCGGAAGCGGAAATCCGCGTGACACCGCGAGCACCTCACCCTCAACTCTCGAGGAACCACGGACGGGAAAAAAAATCTGCGACTGGCGGCGCGACGCACGGGGCCTTCCTGGATGAGTACTTGGGTGTACAGACGAGCCTGAGGACCGGCCCGTGCCTCAGGAAGGCAAACAGCGAACTGGCCGACTGCCATATCCGAACTCCCCCACTCGCGCCGGCTTGGCGGGAATATCGGCGTCCCGTTCGCGTCAAAGCGCGCATCGCCGATCTCTCGCTTCCGCCATCGGCTCGCGGTTGTCCCTACCACCCCGCGTTCTCCGTTGGTGGGCGTGATATTAAATCGCTCCTATCCTTCAGATCCAACACCAGAACCCAGGAAGGTATCTAGCCGCGACAGCACCTTTCATTCCAAATCTCGCTCTCGCAGCGATCGAAATTTTGTTCATTCGTTTATTTTCAGGAGGAACGAAATATTAATTATCAAAATACTAAATTTACTTTCAAGTAAAAACTACCCATTATCTATTCTAGAATATTAAAATGGCGATCGTGATGGAGTACTGAATTAATTTTCCCCTCAAGAGAGGGCTATTATATTTATATCTTATTCTGCTCGAAATTGAAAAGTTTTCTCCTACAAAATTCATTTAACTATGTTAAAAATTGTCATGATTACACCGGCGATAGCGCGAAAGTTAAACGTTAAACGTTACCATGCAGTAATCAATCGGTGAGATCAGAGTGCGCGCTCGAACAGGAGACGGGGGTGACAGAGAGGACAGGCCGAGAGACATCGCATCGGAAGAGTCGGAGTAAAAAGAGGTAAGGCGGCCGGTGGTGATAGACGTAGGAAGCGAGCGTGGAATCTCGGACCCCGGAGGTACCCCGTCGTCGGATTTTCCGTCGCCGGGCCGCAATGGTTGGTAGCCATGCGAGGGTTGCCCATATCCCGAGGTAAACTCTATCCAGGTTACCGTCTCTTTCGCCGTCTCCGCTTTGTGGTAGGCGGTAACCGCCGCGAACGCAGCTCCAATGAGCGGGTGGCCCGCCCTCTGGATGCCCCACTAGTTTTCGCGCGGCGGAGATTTATTGAAATTTTATTTTTATGGCCGGCAAGAGCGCGCGCGGACGCTCGGCGCGGTGATGTGCGGGAGAGAGGAGAGAGATGCGAGCAGACGACCGGCCGAAGGAGACGAGAGAGCCCTCTTCTTCTCATTTCCTCCGCCTTTCTTCCTCCCCCTTCCCGAATCCGAGCGTTTCACTCTATTCTCCGTCCTCATCGTCCTCATCCACCCCCCCTCCCCTCGCCCCCGCATCGCGCTGTTTCACGTCCTCTCTCGCCACGCTATACGCTTTTCCACCCTCGCGTGCTCGCTCTCTCGCCTGAATCTCTCGCCCGGCCGCGATCTCGCTTTCTCGTTGCGCGGCCCACCTTATTCGCTCTACGTCCTTTTAATTCAATAGCTACCCCTTTTTATAACGCGGCAGTCCCGTGCAGCGCGAAACGGAAGTTTCGCGATGGCTCCTAACGCTTTGCTTGACCCGCCAACGCACGATCTCGCGATCCTACATGAATGGCATTCCATTCTATTTGCGACGATCGCAAGGGATACATGTAACGCCGGTAGTTTTGTAATTACGCCGGATAATGTTCATGTTAATTTATTAAAATCTCAGATTCGCTCGAAGTGGTCACGTTTGCTTTTTGGTCTATACGAAAAGCATTAGAGGGAAATGGTTACATTTTGTATGATTGTCACCTATTCATTAACACTGTATAAAAAATGGGTAGCTTATTATTAATTCGCTAGAATTAATACAATTACTGTTTAGCATATGTTATAGTTATAGCGCTATATACCAAACATTATATAATTTATTTCTATAATTTTCATAATTAATTTTATTTATTTGAAAAACTAATACTCTTTAAAGTTATATTTTAATATACATTACATATATATACATTATAACACACATATTTAAATATATAATCTAAAATTAATCAATTTTATTTCCTTAACATATAAATTCTGTAATTAATTAAGCTTTTTTTGTAATATAAATCAGATCATTAATATTTTTCATAGTTGTATTAAAATAACTAACATTCATAGATGAACGGACTATTCTGCTTTTAGTGCTTTTAAATGGCTTATTAATATCACAAATTAATATACAGAGTATTTCACTCCCATTAAATTAAATTTTAATGACAAATTCTTTCACGAATTTGAAGTCGCATTTACATCAGTAATTTGTCATGTACATTAGTAATTTGTAAACAACAATAGTATAGTTAATATATTAACATTAAATATCGATATTGTATCGTAATTTATGACTCTAGTGAAATAATTGCTATTCTTCACAAACTAGAGAAATCTCGAGTGACTTTTGTTAATTATATTACTGTAACCAGCAAAATAATATTTAATATAAATAATAATAATAACTTTTATAATAATTTACAAAATTTATTTTATTATTTTATTATCCACTGTAAAAATAATCTCTACAATCCATTAAAAAACTAAGACCGATAAAAATTCAAATTACTATGTATAAACCATGTAACTTAATATTTAGTTTTCTCTTTTTATGATATCATATGATATGATAATATAAACATTCACACATTACTTTTAATGTTTGTACATATTATATATGTTCGCAATAGTTACAGAGTTATATACACAATAGTTAAGATCCGCATTAAATTTTTTCGAGAAATTTTCTGCTGCTTTACGCGAAATAAATGTATATATCTTATACTTATAATATATTTTTTAATTCGTTCTAAATGATTTTATTGTTAATGTGTAGAAGAATAAAATTAAAAATCTTTATTAATGAGAGATATACCCGGTTGAAGATATTTTTTCTATGTCCTTAAAATCAAGAGTAAGTGAGGGGAAAAGAGTAATGGGCTTATGTATTCTATGTTATGTCATATTGTACGTGCATACCATATACTCATATCTCTTCTTACGCGAAAGAAGGGGATAAGAGGATGGATCGAAGATATTTAATAAACATGATAAAGTGGCTCCGGCCGTCTCTCTCGTTCTGTTGTTAATTCAGGAATAATTGGCGATGGTTTTAATTAATAAATTTTAATATTCTTCGCGCATATGCCTCGAGTCTTTTAATTAGTAATGCTATGTGTTGCTGATAGAATTCGCTATTCGCGACTTTCTTATTCGATGACATTCAATTTCTTCTATCTCACTCTTTGCAAGGTTTTTATTTAATTTAATTTATTTTCATTTATGGTCAGATATATATACATGTAATCTTCCGTATCATTAGATAATTAAGAAAATTGCTAAGTATACAAACAATTTATGATAATATGTACGTATAAAGGAGGGCTTATTATACAAAATTATTTCTCGAGCGTGCAAGGAAGCATCGCGAATATGTGACGGAGATGTAATTTTTAATTATACTTTTCAGGTAGCGCGCGTCACACCTTTTGCGAGCTCATTTTTCGTTTATTTGCATCATATCCACCGCGCTAATGAGCGCAGACGCGAACGCTCGAAAACATCGTAGTCGGCATATGCAAATACATAGCTAATTGGATTAAAGATAATTAACGTCGCTGGTCCGAGTATTCGATCACATGGCCGTCCCCGAGAAATTTCGACTATATTGCGACAATATTCGCAAACACAATATGAACGGTATAACCTGTGTAACCAGTGGCGATGATCGCTGCATATAATTGCAAAAATACTGCGGAATCTCCCCTATAATGAAATAGATATCACGTGGAATGCGCTGCTCGCCTGTACGGAATTCTCAGTCACATCATACTTCAAATATATCGCGTTTGTGGTTCTCATTTTCGATGTGATCACGATATTCAGGCTAGCAAGATTGCTAGCCATCGGCCACAGGTTTAATTTGAATTTTTGCTGTCGCCTTCTACTATCATTGTATATATAATCTTATTGTTCTAATTACCAGAGGAAAAATTTTCTTGAAAATTGTGAAATAAATGAGCTATTTCTAATTTGTTTATGATGCTTATGAGAAATCAAACATAGCGTAGAAAAAAAAAGAAAAAATGTGAGTCTTCTTTCATAATACGGTTTTTTTAAATAAAATAGACAATATATATATAGCTCTAAACGTTATTTTATATATTATTTCTAAATAACAAACAACACAGAAATTTATCTCATCAATGGAAAATATGCTCAAGAAAATAAGTGGAAAAACATATCGAAGCCGGCGCCGCGTCGATGAAATCAGTCCGTGAAAGAAGTTATTTGTTCATAACAGCAAATTGTGAGGTAAAACCTACACGAAAGTGATGAAAATAACTTCGATTGAAACACCGCTATATGTATATTTTCGAAAATCATTGGAGACATTAATACATATGACCCCCTCTCCCCCGCTCCCCAATCATGTTGGCGGCGGGCAGGAATCGAACAAAAGCGACTATTTTTTTAGCGCATTGTTAGAGAACGGGAGTGACGTCTACGGCACTCGTAAACCGAAAATGTATTTGGTAGGCAGGTATGTGTGCCCTGGCACGATCGATTTTAAACAGACGCGACGAGCAGCGGCAAATTGACAATGTGTCGAATGCAGACAACCGATGCCTCTGGCTAAAACTACCCTACCACGCGACGAAACCAAAATCCTCTCTATATACATCGTTCGAATGCATTGCGTCGAAAGGTTGCAGTATATCTTCAAAGATCCGTGCATAGGTTTGTAATGGGAGATGGCTAATGGCAGTTAAATTAATACAAATATTAAGGAATTGATATATTAAACATAGGGTTAATTAATATGTTAATAAATAATTTTCATTAATTGTTACTATGTGTATAATTACAGTGATATATTCTCTTTTTTAAAATTATATTTCAACATGAAGAAATGTGCTTCTTGGAATTTTCTATATTACATTTTCAATTAGTGTTTTAAATAGACTGCATACGTTATTAAAAATTAATATAATAATTATATAAATATAATAATCATTGATATCAATATTAGAACAAGTAAAGTATAATATTTATTTATCTCATACATTTTTAAAAGCAAATATTATCTATATAAAATATAAATTTTTTTTATTTACTAAAACGTACATGAAATTTTAATTAATTCCATGTCAAAGCAAAGTATCA